CCAACCGCATGCCACAGAAAATGCAATGAGTTATTATCTCACACGGAAGTTAAGGGAATTGAACGGCAGAATGGTATGAATTCAATCCATAGAGCTTTATCTTTTGTGGTTTTCAGATTTCGTCGCAGAATAATTCGAAATTTATTAACTTTGAGAATTCATAATGACTTCAATGATGTCTTTCAATTAGAAATGCGGCGTTAATAACTAGGTCTAGGTATATATGTCTCTGATTAATAACCCTGTTTTTAAAACAATTGGTGATTGTTTCTTCCTGTTATTCGTAGTTAAATATTAGAAAAAATTTCCCAGGTGGCCTTAATATTTGTGTTTCATTATCATTTTCTTCCTTGTTGATGGCCAAAGTTCAGTTGGCACGACCACACAAAGATAATATTAAGGGACGACGCACAATAGCTATATACGTAAATCACTTATATCAAATTGTTGTACATACATATTTATGTATGTATTCTGACCACACAAAGGAATCGAAACACGAATGGACTTTAGCTAAGGTCATTGAAAGTAAAATTAGATTTTTGGCAAATATTTTCACATCTTTCACATTTTCTTTTACAAAGATACAAATGTATGAGACAATCGGGACTGATCGTGCGGCTAACACGTGATTGTCAAATGCAATACGTAAGTAAATAAATAAAATTCTACTAATATTACATGCATATATGTATATACAAGCATACATGTATAAACATACATATTGCACGGAGCTAACAAAGTTGTAAAGAAATGCATAAAATCTAATATGACTCCCGTCTGTCTGACTTTTCTGAAATATATTCATACATACTCGTATATACATTTGATTTATATTAATTTGCATTTATATACACACATATATGCATATACATATGCATTCCCAGACTCAATTGAAGTGCATTGACGATCGCTAGCGTTTGAATTCCACTTTTCGTGATCGCAGCCAATTTAAATTGAACAAATTGATTTGTTATGCACAATTTTCATTTTAATTTTCCTTCAAATTTGTAAACCAACTAAAATGTCTATTGCACATATGCTATATACAAATGTATATGCACATGCATATTTACTTATATATAACCTTGAATGCTGAGATAACAGAGTAGGAAATTTCGATAGAAGATCGATGTCAGATATATATTTATTATAAGTGATAGATTTAGAAAATAATATGACCAATAAATAAAAAAAATATTATTATAGCTAGATTCATTTCTCAGAACTATGTCTGACGTCATCATGATGCATTGAAACCGGCAATAATCTGCAAAAATTTAGTTATGTAGTTTATTCGTCATTGCTGAATCATAGCGTGGAGCAACATAAATTAATTAAATTTATATATAGGGCGCCATAGTTTTTGTTCATATGTCAATTTTTATAAGCGGCTAGATCTATTCTGGAGGCGATAATAAACAATATCAGCGTTTTTGTGGCACGGAAAACCCGGTCTCTGGGCCATATTTTTCAAACAGATCGAAATATTCACAGTAAATCGATATCGATAGATGATGGCTATAGGCTATAACATCTCGAGTGCAAATAACATTTTTACGCTGTCATTCACGTCAATCACTTTCTTAATATATGTACATCCATATATTTGAAAGACACCCAAAAGCTTACTTAAATACAAATTAACAGCATTTTCTTACAAATAATGCTATGATGTCTTAATAAAGATAAAAATTACGAAAATTTCTCGTAACTATGCCTATAGGCTAGGTTCCCATGTCCGCAGACTGATTTTTTTATGATCCAAGGTTTGGTTAATTATTAATATTTGTTTTTGAACTTTGTCACAAAGCTGGATTTTTTCACAGTTATAGGGGTATACTTAATTTACTTAACAATAATGAATAGGAGGAATCAGGAGGTCACACGCATAACAAAACCTAAAATATTGCAATTAGGTATGAGTCTTGTGAGCGCAATGAACGGTATTCTCAATAAATCACAAAGGGCATCCGACCAAAATGTAATTCTCACCTAACTTATGAAGTACTTACATACAAGTATTCGTCCTGAAAAATTTCATTAAAAGCTCAAACCACAACAGCAGCGCCAATTTTATGCTGAAGTTTACTTTCAAACTATTTAAAGTTGTTTCGGAAATTGACTTTGTAAAGTATCGAACAAAATACACAAACAAAAAAAAAAAAAAGGATATACACAAACACATACTCGTATATAAGTTTTTATAACGCTTTTCATTTGCATATGCAGATGCATATATATTTTGGTGTGCAAACTGTATTTGCCACCTCCACCCCACAATGTCTAGTCGGGTGTTTATAATTTCATTTCGAGGGCGTTAACCAACTTGGCGCCACTGCAATTTTGCTTACATACATACAAATGCAAATATATGGTAACTGTTGCCTGTGAGCCATAAAGGATTTGCATAGAATTTTGTATCGGTGCACAAAAAAAGTTGTGTAAATTTACATACATATGGTACATAAATATACCTGTAGGTATATATTCATACATTCAAATTATAGTGAAAATATATCTGTCTGCGGTTGCATGGCTCTACAGGCTCAGTTTAAAAGTTTATTCTCTAGAAAATAGAGATTATAGCTGGTATCACTGTCGTAAGCTCCTGGCTTATAAATGTAAATGTTTATTTCCTTGTAATCACTTTCATATTTGCTTTTTAAAACGAATTTTTTCAAAACTTTTACAAATGTATTTATTTGTATTATTCAAATACCAACCAACCCTCTGTCAGTATACCGACTTCTCATATCTTTTAAAATGACATCTTAATAATTTAATCAAAATTTAACAAATGCCTGACCCGTAAACACAGCACCATATACAATACATATACTTATGTATATACCCTCTGGCCACCTTCCTGATTTAATATTGCAATATAATATTTATTACATTTCTCATACTTACAAATATGGGATTAAAGTAATTTCAAAAAAGCCATGTGAGTTCATTAACACCATAGAACCCTTTGTTTTCGATGTCTATTTGATTTACGCCAGTTGTTCGTTCGATTCGCCACTGAGAGTGAGAACGGTCGAATGGACATATATATAATTTAGTGAATTGGATACGAGTTTCTATCATAGTGGTATAACCGCTTTCTTCACTGCTATCATTTTTTATACCCGAACAGGGTATATTAAGTTTGCCACGAAGTTTGGGACACGCAGAAGGAACCGTCAAAGATCCTACAAAATATATATATATTATATATGATCAGATATCGATTTGAAATAATGAACACGTAGTTTTCTCCCCAGTAAGCTGATTATTTGTCGGAATCGCCGATATCGGACCACTATAACTTTTCATTTGATGAGATATTCTCAATAAATTTGGCATGGACTACTGGCCATGGTGCCAAGTTCTTGTAAGAAAAATTTTGTACTTGTGAAGCGTATTCCAGCTTCGGTGCAACCGAAGTTAACGTTTTTTCTTGTTATTACATATTTTATTCACTATTGTGAATATATGAATGGCTGAAATCGAACTTTTGGAAGCTTACATACTTGTATATCTCCTTTTCACTACACCAGATTAGCGCATTTTGAGCAATTTTTTTTCGATTGGCGCTCTTCACGGTCTGGTGTACCGATATTATTCGCTTATATTATGGCCTCGAAACACAGACTTTCAAACAATGTTTTTTCACCCACATTTCAAATATCCACCGACAAATATGTATACAATGTAGATAAACCTATAAACATTCGTGCACATACCTTATATTTGCTGAAAAGAGGTAATTTCAAAAAGAACTAACACCAGTTAGTCGAATACCATTAAATACTAGAATTCAAGCATTTTTTATTTTTTTCATATGTACTTGCATTTATACACTCACATGCAAATATTTGCATGTCCTTTTAATGGGCTAAATTGCTTTTTAAAAATGGGGTCGCAATCTCTTATTTATTACTGGCCAATTAGCCTGTGTTGTTTCTGTATTTCACATTTGACCTCTTTGCAGTAAATTTATAAATATTTGATTTTGAATTTAAAAAACCCTACAGGGAAGTAAAATATCAATGTTCTAGCCTAAGAAACTTACAAAGGTTTTATTACGTCAAAACTTCCCGCTTTCTTAAATTCGTAAATCAAAACATGAAGATCGCTTGTCAAAATCATCGCTGATCAAAACCAGAAAAAAGTATAATTTACAATGCTTCAAATAACTGTAAATACAAAAGCCATAAAAACTGGACTCAAAAAGTTTAAGGAAAGGCTTATAAATCGTCGGTTGAGAAAAATAGGTCAAAATATCGGCAATTAAATTAGGAATGTCCGCAACAAAAGTTTTCGCGAGTTTTCTTTGATTGTGGAGTACCCAATATTTAGGATAGGTTATGTAATAGGAATGCTAGAGACGCTTTTCCGTTGTGATGCCCAGAGCTCCTAAGTACGGATCAAAAAGACCGCAGTATCTCTACAAAGCACTTAGAGCCAGTAACAAATTTAATGAGCTGGCTGTTATCTACTCCTGCCAATTTACCGGGATCATAGAAAGTATGGCAACCAAAATAAAAAGTGTCTAGATGTTTTCACCTCATCTTCCTCCCTGAAACGTTGACAAGTTGCGTTCTCCAAAATCTTTAGCCTCACCGCGTGAGTTCCAATGAGACAGTGTCCCGCTAAGATACCTATTATTACCTTTAGGGTTCTTCTCTGGGTCAGTAGGCTTTCGCAACTCCTCAAGTGCTGATTGCTAACCAACGCTTATTGAGCTCGCGCGAGGCCCATGGATTCAGCGCCCGAGTGCACGACGACATGGAAATGCCTGCTCGTTTGCAGTGCAAAGGGAAGAAATATTGATACTATTCATATAAATTTCATGCCAAATTATCTATCAATTCTAGAAAAATGAGAACTAATAAATTCCTTGAATTTATATATAATCTGGCATATGTCTCTTTGTACATTTAACAATTTTTTAAGCAGATGTACTAGCAATGTTGAATACTTATTTGTTCATAATAAATTCTTTCACTTACCTCCTCAACCGCTTCACATTCGAATAGATAAATATGCAATAACGGGTCACGTGGATCCTTCATCAAATAAACCAGGCCTGTGATGGGACCGAGAAATTCCATGAAATTATTCGCATTTCCGCCATTAACTGCCTCGTTAGTGCCGCCATCTACGCTACTTGCGGCGGCCAACGCCGCCTGTTCGCGCTCCCGTTCACGCAGTGCAGCGCTTGAGGACAGTGAACCATACGAAGTCGATGTGGTTAAGGCACCACCTGTGCCGTTTGTTTTCAAAACATTCGCATTGCTATTTGTGGCGCTGCCGCCGCTGGTGAAGGCTTTCAACTGGAGGAAACCATTGCCGGCGCTTTTCGTATTGCTCTGCTTATGTACGATGCGGCACATGCCAACAATATGCTTGAGCGGATGACTGAATTGTAACTCGAAATCGGAATTATATGACTCGAGCACACCATTTTCGATGCCAACGGAGAGCTGGAATAACGGAAAAGATAGTTAAATGCTTGAAATAAAGCGCGAGAGGAAATAGCAAGAAAATGTTTAAGTCAAATGCGAATTTAAAGAAAATTATGCGCTCTGATGTTGAGCTGTCAGTGCAGTGTGTTGGAAAATATTTTCAAAACACGCATCCGAGTGCCTTGCATTCATTTACCTATGCGATTTCCACATCGCTTACCGCATTGCTGCAAGCCAAGTGCATATTATGATGGCTTAGGGAAGTATGAAATAATTATAAAAAGCGCCGGAGTGAGTAAGTAAATAAGAAAGCAGTCAGCAATTAGGCACACACTGTTACGCACCGTGGTACTGTCATAACAAGTCGCTAAATGGCCTCTGCCTAGTTATGACACAGCTGCGGCAAATACTACGGCATCCTTGCTGCTGTCTGCGCGCAAAAGTTCTCCTCTCTCCAAAATGGCTGTCAGACAACCCCATTTCACATCACATGGAATATGTGTATACAGTTCAGCCAACAAAACAACAACCCACCTTATTGTCTGCCTTTGAGTGGCAAAACTTTTCCATTGTCGCATCATTCAATAATCTCATTTTATTTAGAAAAACAATCTTTACCCCTTCGTCTCTTGTGCTGTCATAATTTAATAGGATTTTTAAAGTTTTTTTCTTAAATTAATTGAAACAAAAGTTCTGCGAAGAAGTAGAAAAACTTTCATAATCAGTAAAATGCAAGTCTGCCACGAAATTGCGCTCAATTAACAAGCGGAAATACGCTGCCAGTGCTGCATAGTACGTGGGGCTTTCCGCTTAATAAGCCAACGAATTTTTTGTGCAATCGCGTTGCTGGCCAACTTTGGAGTGACATTTTATGTATTTTTTCGGATATTCGCCAATGCTCAATTTCCTTGCAATTCTTTCATAGCTTTTAAGTTTCTACGGTTCATTTCGTTAAATGTCAATTTAGTATTGAATGGCAGAGTGCCTTTTTACAAACTAAATTGGAAAAGCTGTGATCGTTAAAGTTTTATAATGCAGGCGTTATTTTTCACACAACTTTTTGAATTAAAAAAAGTATTTATATTAAATTACATTTTTCTCAATTCAATTTCTGTTGCCGCAGGTGTACTGCGTACCTTCCACTACCCTTAATACTGTTACCCAAAAGCGATATGCTCATATTTTCCGATCCGAATGCGAAAAGGCAAAGGTATTAACAATCATGTTCACTATTTTTGATATTTTAGGCGAGTGTTTCCTTTTTTTCTGCCTAACCATCATTTGAAAAATATAGATAACTCTACAATTTTTAACCTACATGGCATTTTCACCTACATTTCTTCGTTCGAAGGGCGACGGCTATCAGAACGTTACAATTCTGCGTTGTATTGAAACTTCAACACTAAAAAGTATTCAATTTACAAGCTTTAAAATGTACGACCATAATCGATACTTTTCTAACAATATGGTATGAGTACTGTATTTTTTTATATTACTGATATGAGTATTAATATCGATACTTTTCGATTAGGTATCTTTTTTGCTAAACATGATCATACTGACAGCGAGTATCTTGAATATTCAATATATCGCGACATTTTTTATTATTTTTTAACTTTAAGCGATATTTTTGCAAAAGTGGGTGGTATTTATCGAAGTTTCTTGAGGTCGGTCAAGCACGTAAATTTTTAGATAAAAAATGGTTCATTCTTTGATATGGGTCGGGTTTATTTCTACAATACATATCATCTTTATAAATTTTAATGGTTTAATAAAAATTTCCTAGAGTTGAGCGTTTCGAAATTTATCTTTATTTGCCAGGTTGGCATAGAGACCGTCTAATCTACACTTTAGCCCGAGTGATAGGTAGGGTTGCAACAGAAACAACTCATTTAGACAGATACATTTTTAAAATAATGTGTGACGCCCACCTTTTTAATTTCACAAGTGATTTATATCTCATATTATAAATAAAAATCAATAATTTTAAAAAATCAAAATACTTTATTGCTGGTGCAACTCAACTTACCGGTCATACACATAAGTATGTAGATACACTTTCAATTTTCACACAGTAAATTCACACACACATGTGTATTTAAATATACATGTATATATGTATGTATATGTACATATCTAAACACATTTGTGCCTGTAAATTGAACTGGATATCATAGTTTATAGTAATTTAGTTAAATAATGAATTATTGTGTTGGAAAAAAATGATTGCCACGACAAATTGTGACGCAAATTGCTAATGAGAAATGGGATGTTGCCACTACAGTGTTGAATGCGATTATAACGAGCACAACAAATACATATGTACAATAAAACACAATAATTACCACTGGAACAATACGAGAAGAAAAACCTTTACATAAAGTACAGTTATTGTGCAATAGACAATTATTATTAGCCCACCGGTTGTGCGAAGCATGCAAAATAAGTAAGTTTGTGACTATGCACGTATGGTAATAAATATGTGTGCGTGTAAACCAGTACAAACTTAGCTTACTTTTGATATGATACGTATATATTTATTTCGAAAAGGTTTTGGGTCAAATATGCAGCTCGTAAAACCAGTGCCGGAAGATTACTAAAAAGAATATATAAGTGTGCGAATATAGGTATGTTATGTAGTATATACAAATAAATTGCAACAGGAGACAAGTATAAAATTATATATTTTTCAACCAATGTGTTCGTTTGAACGACACGAAGAAGTATATACCTCGTCTACACTGGCGGGTTCCTTAATAATAGCGATACATTTTTATCGATTTTTGAGTGATTTCTTCGATTTGTGAGTTACAGTTTCAATTTTACCAATTATTTATAAAATAAAAGTGCTTAAGTGGAATGAAACCGCTACACGAAGATCATTTCGGTCATTTGCAATAATGCCATAAAACGAAGAAAATAATATAATAATTCAAATGTCTCCAATGATGAACTACCATTATCCAATAAATTAAATCGAAACGTTATAAGCAATTAATAAAAATAAGAACAATTGATATCTTGAGTTATTTTATTGTCAGGTAATTTTTTCTAGTAACAATCAACAATGAAAGAGTTGTTCGAAGAAAAATTCCAATTTAAAGATCTGCGAACGCAGTTCGAATGCAATTTGTGATAATTATCGTTGCTAAGATCACTGCAGTCAGCAAACTACCACTTATATAACAAACATTATAATAACAAATAATAACTGGTATTTGTGAAACAGGTTCTGTGCTGACTTTGCTCACAATGTATAACATAAATACACTTCCTTCTTTGGAATTGAATTCATACGATTCAATTTTGATCCAGTTGAGTTATTTTTAAATCTACACCTCATCAATATGACGGCTTTATATCCTGAACCGGCTGAGTAGTAAGAACTTAGTGAACATTCTTAAGCTGAACTTCAGATCATTTGTTATAAGCCGCCAAGGGAGTCCTAAAACTTTTTTCAGCGCTCTCTAAAACTTTTTTTGATATTTTTTATGTATAAAAATACTCTCCGAGGACGAATTAAAAACTCTCTCAACGTTTTTGGGTTTTGTTTTAGCTGGAATTTCGAAATCAGCGAATCATTAGTTCATATTTTCTCGAACACCGCCTTGTCAATATGGTCACTTGGAACATCACACACGCTTGGAACAAATCAGCAGCGTTATAGAATGTATTTGATATAATTAATTCTTTTTTCTTTTTTTATTGGAGTATATTGAATAATTTATACATATGTGCTTACACCAGCATTAAATTACATTTTATATGAAATTGATTGTCGAAGAAAATTCAAATATTTTTATTATCGACTAATGAATATGTGAGCTATAAAAGTTGCAACATTAAAAAGCACTTCAATCAATTTTATTACGAAAGAGGGCAACTACGGTCTTACTATGTAAGGCCAATAAATCCAATTAACGACATTACATAGATATATACTTCTGCATAATGAAATTACGGGGATCTATGGTTTTCACATACACTAACACATTTTTAATTGAAGTACTTTTTTTTTTATTAAAAACAACGCATGAACTGCAAATCCAAACGAAATGTGTTGGGATATGTACGAAAGTTAGGATGTGGTGAGAGGATGCTGTAACTGAACAAAGTAGAATGTATTTGTGTACAGTTATTGTATTGAACAACAACACAAAAGTTGGCTTTCATTTCGAGATGAGTTTTATTCCATTTCTTTTTTTATTTTTCCATCAATGCCATTACCGCATTGGCATGTCCTGCATGGAACACATAGATATGTAGCTAGATATGTGGCGACAATGTTTTAATGAGAGAATGGAGAATCATCCATGTAGGTATGTACAAGTATGTGAACTATGAAAGTTTTGAAACAAAAGCAATGAGCAAAAGTTTACGTACTCTTACTGCAACAATGTTGTCATTCATAAAGACAGTGAGCGCATCAAAAACAAGCCACAAACCAGTAGAGTCGCCGAAAGAAGAAGAAGAAAACACAATTTCTATTCGTTATTTTTGGTGTAGCCACTTTTTGCTCAAATAATGCATCGTGCGCTGATGATATGCGGACGGACATTTCCTGAACACAAATGTCGGCGCGTCTGAAAGGCATCGGCAAATGAAAAGCGAGGAGACTGCTGATGGCTATGGAAGCTTGAGAATACGATTAGGATGTGCATGTGTTTTTGAAATGATAATGAAAATGTCAAAACTATTGTGTAGTCAAAAAATAAAGTTTTAGTCTGGCAGTGTAGGAGCTAAACATAAAATGCTTCAAACTGTAATAACGGTAAGTTCGACTTAGAAGTCGACCACAATTTCTGTAATGTAAGAGATTTTTAAATTTTCTCTTTTAAAATAAAATTATTTGTAAAAGAAAATAATTAGTCCAAAAATAGTGTTGAACAGCGGTAATGGTTTATTGGGGCAAAATAAAAATCACTTGTTTTGAATATTTACAGATATACATAGATTTTTTATACATACATACATACATATGTTGAATTTTGCAAAAGTAATAGGCTCGGCTAAGTTAA